ATTTATTTCTTTATTTCTTTCATGATCTATATTTGTATTTTAAGAATTGTAATTTTATTATTTAAAGAATCAAAATTTGAATAAAATAAAGATAACTTTTTAATTTAACAACAATTAAATTACCTGTTCATTAACATTGTTTAAATAATTAAGTGATAATTATTTGAATGTTTACATTTCTGTTAAATTTTTCCCAAAACAACTGGGTATTCTCCCAAAATTCTTGATCACATACAGTCAACCCCTTAAATGCACACCCTCTCTAATGCATACTTTCACTCATTCCCAAGCTTGGGACTTAAGAGATAAGTGCACCTGCACTGCACAGTCTTTTTTCATTCCCAAATATATAAAACCACCCTCCTTAAATGCACGCCCGTGACTTTCACGTGATTTTATGCATTGTTTATCGTGTAACCTTAGAAAATTTTACAATTACGTGTTGTCAAAATTAATATGGCTTTGACTTAATCTCAATTTTTAATTGTGTCTTGACTCAATTACTTATATGTTTTTCATATGACTCAATTAATTGCATCAAAAAGTCACCCAATTGAGTCAAGTGTAAGCATGTTAACTGAAGTTGGCTCACTTAATAATGGTGAAATAGTTTTTCATAAATGCTGAAATTAATTTTATTAGTTGCCAAAATTGTATCTGAAATTATTTGGACTCTTTAATTAAATATTAAAAGGCTGGGTAGATTTTTTATGTCTATTGATACAAAGAATATTGTAAATCCAAAATTGCTTACCAAAATTGATTTTTTCAAAAACCATTTTAACTAACATTCTTATCAGCCTATTTCTACCATAGTTAACAAGTTTGGAAATTGTCCATACAATGAACAAGCAAAATCAGTTAATTCTCTTGAAAAATATATTAATTAAAAAAAATAAATACAATGGAACAAATTACAATAGATAGATTCATGTCTTGAAATTTTTTTTTGTAATTTAAAAACTTTAATTAGTGTCACATGAGTCATCAATATGTGCAGCCAATAAAATGCTTTAATTCCCTAAATGCACACCCTCTCTAAATGCATGCTCCCACTCATTCCCAAGGGGGGTGCACTTAGATGGGGTTGACTGTATTTCGCAGGTTCGTATTAATTTTTGTTATGCAGGTACATGGGATGAAAATGTTATAGTAGACCTATTTTGTTTTTTTTACAATACTTTTATAATTACAATCCAACCTTTTCATAACAAATGTGTGGGACTGACCACCTAAATTCATTGTAACAAAAGTAGGGATGGGGCAGTTTAAAAAAAACCGGTTCGAATCAGTTTTTTGTGTAACTAAATCTCTATGTTTATTGGCCAGGTTATTATATCACGTGAAAATGTAATACGAAATATTATTATATTGATTTTAATTATTATCTCGAAGATGTAAAAGGATAGCTATTCTTTTTATATTAGTTGAAAAATGATAAACAAGATGAGTAGGTGCCATGATTATTTTTACAACTTGCTTTTCTTCCAAATTCAATTTAACTCTTCTCCAAACAACTATTTTGTTTTTTTTAAATTGATTATCATTTTAAAGCACACATCATTAGAGTTTTAACAAAGTTTTGAGTCACTAAAAGGTTTTGACAAGCAACCTTAGTCATCACAGACTATGAATTGATCCTTATCAATTGAGCAATGGAGTTGATCAAGGTGAAGTTTTCTCTCGATTAATGTGGTGCATATATTATGATCCTTTACTATGTCATATTTAATCCAAATCAGAATTAGGATACACCATCAATACTACTTACCATCTAATTTAACAGTTAATCCATATACCACCAACACTGAATTTTTCACAATTACAAATGTTGCATACATGAATGATTCCACATTGGGATGTCCTATATGATTTTACAAACATAGTTGATCACATATATAAATTTTCATATATGACAATTTTTTTGCTGATCTTTTTTTCAATAGTAAGCTTTGTAAATTTTGAACAATTATAACTCTTTAAAGAATAGAGATATTGACTCCGAGTTAAGTTTAAAACATACTGGAGAAATAGGACAATGAAGTAATAGAGCCCTTCTTTTATTTTAATATAAACAATGGCATTTATTTTAAGCTAGAAAATCAAAGTAAAAGTTGTGAATATATGTTACAAAATTTTATGCAAGTAAGATTGTAAAAGCTCTCTATTAGTTTAAAGAACATCAAAAAGTGAATCTAAATCATAAATTTTTATTTGAATATAGTGTTCCATGTTGCAATCCAAAAAAGGAAACCAAAGTGGTCGCAAAGATGGTTGCAACCAGGTGTCGCAAACCATTTTTATATGTCGCAAATATGGTTGCAACCATCACCAAGAATTGCGACCAGCATCTATATTTGAATACATCATGTAGTTTAGGAGTTATTTGGAGTTTTGTAATTTTGTGAAGTTTGCCAATTTGTAAAAGTTTTTTTTTGTGGCACCAAAAAATAATAATAAATCTGCAAGCCCCTAAAAAATCCCTATTAATGAAATATCTATGTGATCAACTATGTTTGTGAATCATATGATGTGGGACACCCCAATGCCACATGGATTGCTCTATCAAAAGAAAAAAATGAACAAAACTCTACCAATTAAATGCCATTAAAGTAAATCCTGACAAATCAACATTGATGGTCATTAGTTCATCAGAAAAAGATAATGAAACAAATGCAACATCTACATCAGGAAATTAATTTAGTGTAAACTTGCATAAATCTTACAATGCCAACGTAATATTGTGTAAATCTTACAGTGCCGACGTAAGTTTTACACTTTTTTATTATTAAACTTACAATTGACATGTGTAAAATTTTTTTATATTTTCCGGATGATTAGTAACATTACCTCAAATTTAAGTGATTCAGATTTGCTTTTGAAAATAAAAGAGTAATCAAAGAGGCTTCCCTCAATTGTAAGTAAGATTACATAAATATAATGTAAACAGATCCAACATCCTTTTACCAAATCACCTTCATTCTTTTCTAGCTTCAAAACTTTTTTTTTGGATGCTCTTAATCCTTTAAGGGATCTAAAGACCCTTGAAAAACCATATATAAATCAGTCTGTACATCTATTTATTGATTCAGTCCTTTGGGTTTTGTAAAATTGAATTACATCTTGTAAGCAGATTTAAGCTTTGAATTTACAATTAATTAATCATAAATTACAATAATGATGAATTATTTGTATTCTTTTAGTGGAGAAATATCATTCAAAAATGTGCCAACAAGAGTATGAGTTGATGACATTGGGTTTTTGAATGATGTCAATAACTATCCAATAGTTAGTGTGGAGGAAGCATGACCTGGGGCATCAGAGCATAAAATCTTTGATGATAATGCAAAAAATGATATCACAATGTCAAAACTTTACAATAATATTGTAATCTTGGAAGCTGAAGCATGTCAGCATTTTATTTTCAGATCTTAGAGTATATGGGTTAACAGCATTCAAGGCTGAAGTCTCTTTAACTATGATGGATTTTCATGGTATGTATTGCTCTGAAATTTACATGGAATATTCATGCAATTTAATAATCAACAATTTCAATTTCAGATACACACTGGCTTTTTGAAGTAGATTACTTCAGTTTGCCAAAAGAGTGGGTTGAAATGCCAAATTTGTTTTCTTGTATGAATCATTAATCAAGTGGGCCATAAGCATATCCACTCATTTGTTCTCTTCATCTGTAATGTCTTCATTGATATAATTATGAAATTCTTTTTTTTTTTGTAAATGTAGTTATGTGTCAATGAAACCAAAAATGGTTTGATTGAACAAAGAAAAAAAAGACGGATTAGTCGGTACTCAGAAGCACGTGTTGTAAAAAAATTGGTACAGTTGAAATGAGGAGGGTACCAGTAACAAAACGTTGTTATTATTATGAAAATTCAATGGCTCTCTTTCTCTTCTTAGATCGCCTTCATGAAAAGTAGAGTTTAAATTAATAATATAAATAATAGATTACCTATGAGTATTGATTGTATGGTAGTAATAACAAAAAAAAACATAAATTGTAACTTACTTGCAGGAAAAAAAGATTATATATAAAAGAGAATATGCAAATTTTCTTTAAATATCAACTTCCAATAAATGAATTTCTTTATTTTTAACCTTTTTTAAAGTTTCTCTAAAGATTTTCTTTTTATTTCTTTCCCAAACAGCAGTATTGTTATCTAATTCTTTTTGAATTATATTTTCAGAGCATTCTCAACAACAAAATTCAATATTTTCTCTATTTTCTTTATTTCATCAATTAATTTCTAAACCTTCTTTTATATTGTGGCAATTAAAACGTTCTTTTTTGGTCATGATTACTTATCAATATAGTAAGTTTTAAGCAAAAAAAAAAAAAAAAAATCAGTGTTCAATCATGAAAGAGAACTCTTTAAATCATGGTTGGAGTGGAACATTAGTATTGGCTTTAGAAATCTAGTTATTGAGAAAATGCCAAAAAGGAAAAGATAAAATAGATAATAAATTTGTTCCTATTATTTTCCTTCTAGAGATCTTGGCCTTTTGTTGGGTAATAATGCATCATCATGATGTCTTCTCTTTCCAATATTTATTATTTTTCTTTCTTCTTGGTAAATTTCATAAGTAATCCTTTCTTTTCTTAGGTAAGCTTCAAGTGTCTGAGTATCATTTATTTGAAAATGTAAGGAGCAATTTTTTCACCTTGTTCTTTCTTCAAAATACTTCTAATGGTGCTATAATTCTTGGGCTCCATGGTAGATCGGATGTAAATGAGTTTCATATTAACTATTTTTATATAGGAGTATTTCTATATATCACTTAAGAAACTGATAATTATAATCACATTACAAATGACTAAATTTTGATCCCTGAAATCTTCAGTAATACCAATGTTCACTTTGTCTGGTTTTGTTGCAGCATGCCCCATATAACAAACAATAATTAATCAATTAATCAGGATTGATATTATTAATATTTACCATTAGTAATAATATTGATTCCAGTACTTTGTTCAAATTTTAGGTTCATATACTGAAGTTCCATAACTAGAATTACTATTATTATTAATACCATTTGACTTAGGATTAATAACATTGAATATTCTACTTGTATTATATGCTTGTGGATGTGATTCATATTTTTTCAATTGTGAACC